CCCCAGATGCCCCCCATGCCGCGCCGCAACTATATGGCGACGGCCGACTACGTGGATGAGATCTCCACGGGCAAGGTGGTGCCAGACGGTGAGCAGCAAGAACAGCCCCGTCTGGGCCCCACACGAGCCAGGCGCCGGGCCAGCCACGCGGCCGGCGGGCGAGCCAGGCCCCTGCCGCCCGGGAGGCCGGTCGGCCGGGGCGCCTCGCGCACGGCCCAGAGCTGCGGTCGGCGACCTCTGGAATCTCGTCCATGGGTTTGCCGTGCCAGGGTCATCAATCACCACTTGTGAAATCAAGGGTCCCATCAACGCCATGTTGCCCCTGTGAGCTCTGCTATTGCACAAACTCAAAGCGAACAATTATTCAAAACCCAGCAGCAATGCGTCGGCCGAACTCCGCGCCCCGCTGCGCGGCGTCCCCCCCCCCCCGCCTTCCAGGCGCGCTGACGTACGCTGACCTGGACATCATCCCGGGCAAGATCACGGAGGGCACTGCCATGGAGCCCATCCGCTACAGCAGGCGCGCGTCCGCCGCCGCCGCCGCTGCCGCCGCCGCGCGGGTCACGCGCGCGCCGCCCTGAACGGCCGTTTTGTGGAAGGCAGTCGCTTGGCGGTCTGCTGGCGGGGCACCCGGGGGTTGCGCGTCGATGGCTGAGCACATGCCGCACCTGCTTGCGTGCAATCGCGGACACACAAGGAGCGCTCCTGGATGGCAGCCGCTCGCCCTACGTCCACGCAGTCATGGTCACCGCCGCTTTCCCGTCCGCCCTTTGAACCCCAGGATTGGCGGCTACGCCCACGGCGACACCAGGAAGCTGGCGCAGAAGCTGCCGGCCGGCGTCAAGCGTTACTACGGGGTGAGAATATGAATGACTCTGATCCGTTCGGGACAGGGTGCAACTAAGCGGCGCGCGCGTCGCACATGGTGTGCCGGGCGCCGGGACCCACGAGGCTGGCGGCTGAGTTTGACAGCCGTCGCAGGCAGGCAGGCGCCTCGGCTGGCAGCGGGCTGCCTTCTGGGCAGGCAAGGGCTCGTGGGGTCAGGGTTTGGGGCTCGTGCAGGGACATCATCCTGGCACACTGCCGTCTGAGTGATGCCATTCGTGTTGGAACACCCTGCCTTGAGCTACCCCTCCCCCTGCCTTAAGCCCCCCTGCCTTGAGCTACCCCTCCCCCGTCCCGCACCCTCCCCCCTTCCATCCGCCCCAGATGGAGCACGAGTTTGACACCAAGTGATGCCACCTGCGTTGAGAATCCGCATCACCATGGGAGCCCGCGCGGCTGCCACCGGCTTGACTCGTCCGCCTTTCCCTTTCGAGCATTTCTGCAGGGCGCGCGCCCGCCAGCCTCATAGCAATGGGCAGTGTGCGCTTCCTATCCGGCCTCTGCTGGCCTTGCTCCCGCGCTTCATTGCGCTTCATCTCCGGCTTAATCACATTCGCGGCTTAGTGGGTGCAGGTAACCCTGCCGCCCATTTGCTACAATCTTTGGCTGGTGGAGTCACTGATTGGCAGCCAAGATGCCCAACTCGAGCGTAGCAACCAGCGCGAAACTGCTATATGTGCTGGTGGCATGTCTGCATCAATTCAGCAGCTTGGGTGGGCGACCGCTCCCAAGGCCAGTGTCGCGAGAAGCAAGGAGCCGGCGTGCCCCAGCCAATGGGCGGAAATCATCTGCCGGCCCTGCAGTGAAGAGCGACACCTCAGCAAGCGAGAGGGAGATCAACTGCCGCCCACGCAAAGACCCGCCCCGGCAGTTCGGCTGCCGCTGCACCGCTGCCGCTGCACTGCGGCGGATGCTGGTGCTGCCCTCTTGGCGCCACGGAGGCGGCCCGGGCGCGCGCCCCCATTGGGTTGGAAGATCGCCGCGTTGAATGCAGTCTTTGGGTCGGTGCTAGTGCAAGCGGGAATGCGCAAACAGCAGAAGCGGCAGTGCGCTTCTCACGATTGCAGGGCAGTTCCAAGTGCAGTGGAAGATAACAGGGGAAATCAAGCACCTTGGAGTTGTAGTCGGCCGACACCTTATCACCGGGGGCGCACACGACGAGTGTGCAAGCAGCGGAGTGCACTCAGCGAATGGGGCATCCCTGTACCCGTTCCACCGGGGCTGGCACCGCAAGTCACTTGAGCAACTTGAGCACATGTGCTCAGGCTAAACATAATGCAAACCGCCATCGGGCCATATCCCACACGATGACCGCCCGTCTGAGAATTGGAGGTAGTTAGTTGCAACTACCCTGCTGTAACGGTGCCGGGGTGCATCACGAGAAGTGGGCAACATTAAATTCACACCTAATCATGTCAGCATACTTGGCCAGTGCAGGTGTGAAGGCTACATGCTGCCGCGCCACTGCTCATGGCAAGGCATGACTCGGGTCACGGCGGTGGTGCCGCCGCTGCCGCCGACGGCAGCCGCCCCGCTGCACATGGCCCCAGCCTTGACAGGGCGCGCCGGCATAGGGTCTCCAACATGAGATCCAACCTTCGCGTGTGTCCGACGTTCCATACAGCCTCGGGCTGCCTAAACTCACACACGTGATTCGCAGCTGAGCAGTCATTTTGCGTCCTGTGGGCCTGTGGGTACAGGAGCCCTAATTCGAGTGTGAATTTTCAAGCCAATGTAAACTTCTAGCGAAGCCGCCCGCGTATCACCTGGGCCACGGGGACGCAGCCACGTGAGGAAGCAAACCACACGGTTTGGCCAGCAGCTCGCAGCTAGTAATGAGCGTGTTGATGGACAGAGAATGGAGACCCCCTGGGCCGGCTGGGACGCCTTTCCCGGCGTACTCCTCCGGCCCGTCGGCAGCTGATTTCTCCAGCATGCGCAGCTCTATGCTCTTGGCGTCCCCAGGCTCCATAGGATCGATGGAGCAGCATATACTCGGCTCCCATGACGCAAGCATGCTGTCAAACAGCCTCGCATGTGGATCGTTCGGCGCTGTCGGCGCTCTCGCCGCCAGCACATCATGGGTGCCGTCGTCGGACTTTTCCAGCCACGGCGGCCTCTGCGTCGGCTCCCACCTTGACCTGAACAGCCTGAACAGTAGTGTGCATGGCAACGGCAGCGTCCACGCAAACAACGGCAGCAGCGTCCACGGCAACGGCAGCGTGCACGGCAACAACGGCAGCATCCACGGCAGCGGGGCCGCCGCCGCTGCGCTCGCAGCTGGCGCTCGGACAATGGGCGCGTTCGGCGGCGCAGGGTCGGGTGCCTTGGTGGCGGACGCGCTGCGACGTGACGCGGCAGACCCAGGGCGCCAACCCACCTCAGTCGAGGACATCATAGGGTGAGCTCAGCCACATGGGCACTGCTTTCGGCCCACCCCTGGCATGAGCCTGGACGGGGCATGGCGAGCGAGCAGGATGCTGGCCGAGGGCCTTTGGAACGGCGGCGTTGTGAGTGGGACGGTCCGTTGCAACCGCGGTGGACGCAGATGCCGGTGGCGTGCCGTCCGTGCG